ATACTAATCAAACTAAAAAGCTTCTGCAGAGCAAAGGAAACCATCAACAAAATTAAAAGGCAACCAATGGATAGAAGAAATATTTGCATAGCATACATCCAATAAGAAGTTAATATCCAAAACATATGAAGAACTCACACAACTCAATAGCAAAAACAAAACAAAACCACCAAACAACCTGATTAAAAATGAGCAAAGGATCTGAATACTGGACGTTTTTCCAAAGAAAACATACAGATGAACAAAAAGCACATGAAAATATGCTCATTACTAATCATCAGGGAAATGTAAACTTCATATCTGATAGAATAGCTATTATCAAAAAGATAAAAAATAACAAGTATCGGTGATGATATGGAGAAAAGAAAACCCTCGTACGCTATTGGTGGGAGTGTAAATTGGTGCAGCCACTATGAAAAACAGTATGGAGGTTCCTATAAAAAATTAAAAAAATAGAACTACCATAAGATCCAGCAATTCCACTTCTAGGTATTTATCCAAAGAAAACTAAAACACTAATTCAAAAATATATTTACCCCTATGTCCACTGCAGCATTATTTGCAATAGCCAAGATACGGAGACAACTAAGTGTCCACTGATGGATGAATGGATACAGACGCAGTGTATATGCCATTTGAGACAGCACAGGTGAACCTGGAGGGTATCATGCTAAGTGAAATTAAGCTACACAGAGGTAGACAAATACCATATGATCTCACTTATATGAGGAATCTAAAAAACAAAACAAAACAAAAAGTCCAAAATGAAACTCATGGATATGGAGAACAGAGTGGTTGGGGGGAGGGTTGGAGGGGGTACAGACTTCCAGTGTGAAATGAATAGGTCATGAGGATGTCGTGTGCAACTTGTTGACTATAACCAATGGTATTTCAGTGCATATATGAAGGTTTCTGGGGTAGCAAATATTAAACATTCTCATCACAAGAAAAAAAAATTAATTCCTAACTTTTACTGGTGACTGACGGTGACTAGACTTTTGTAGTGATCATTTCGCAATGTATACAAATGTCAAATCATTACTTTGTATACCTGAAACTAGTATAATGTTGTATGTCAATTATACCTCAATAAAAAGGTTTTAGTAATATAATAATTAAAATAAACATGAATCTCGTGGAAGAGGAGGGAAAGCGTGAAAAAGTTAAAACACAGTTAAGTTCTTACATTGCCGAAAGGGTCTAGAAACTGCGCCTTGAAGCGAAACGATGTATAATGAAACTAATTTTACCCTATATTAATGAATATAAACAACAGTTAAGTCCCTGTGGCATATTTCTGGTCACAAAAACATCAGCAAACTTCTAAATAAAGACCTAAAACACTTCTAATATTAAAGACTGAAATAAATGTGAGCTATAGATACATTTAAGAAAGAGTAATAAAAGCAAGTTAAGATGATTATTTTCTAACCTGACTATTCCAATTCGGGGGCAGGTGACCAGAGCCTCTCCTGGCAGCTCAGGGCACAGGTGGGAACCGGTGTTGGACGGGACACTGTTCTGCCCCGCGGCACCCTCACACACACCCTCTTCACTCAGATGGGACCATGTAGACACAACGCACATCGCCTGCACATATTGAAGAGGTGGGAGGAAACCAGAGGACCATGTACACACACACACATATATATTCTCATCAACATTATAATGAAATGATGTTATTTGAGGACCTGCTATAATCAGAAATCAGAGTTGAAGTTGGACCCAAGTCACCAAAGATACCGCTAAAAACAGTAAACATCATTACTGCTTTAAAGGCAAAACGCACCAACATCCCAGCTCCAGCCAGCTCAGTCATTAATTTACCCACTTACTAATCAAATAGTCGTTTAGCTACTAAAAGGTGCCATGCCTCATGCGAGGACCAGGAATACAAAGGTAAATCAGTGAAAATCCGGATGTCAAGAAGCTCACAGTCTAATGTGGAATCAAGACATGTAAACTGGTCCTCACTGTGTACTGTAATCAGCGAGGCTCAGCATACCACGGGAACTCTGAGGGGAGACCAACCAGATTTGGGGGGCGGCACATACATTTAAGAAATTATTTGAACAACTAAGTAATTGACATTGAAACTTGCGTTCCAGTGAAACAGCCATTCCTCCTGGGCTCTCCCCCTGGGAAGGTTTCAATCCTGACATCATTTATTGGCTGTGTATGTGGTTACAAAAAGTTAGCAGATTATCCCTCCGATTCTCATCTGTGAACACGGTAACTGGTTATGAGAACTACCTGCAACAAGGTATGTGAAAGTACGTAGAAATGTGCTTGAAATATAGAAGGAGAAGGAGGATTACTATTTATGTGCTACCTGCTACAGGCAACACAATCAATATTATTTGGAAGTCAGTATAGCAAAATGTTAGAGCAGGGTTTGGAATCATCCAAACATAGGTTTGAATTCTCTTCCCATCACTAGCAGGCTGTGCGATGATTCCTTAGACATTTCCACTTTCTAAACCTTAGTTCTCAGCTGTGGGACAGGATAAATAAAACGGGCTCCATTACAGAGTTTTGAAAATGTAAAAGTGTCATGGTCGTAATTCAATAGCACTATGCCTGAGAAGTGGTAAATGATTAGTTTTAATTACTACCATTAATTATATCTTTCATAGGCATAACCTTAGAAAGAAACTGTATGAGACTTGTCCAAGTTCACAGGTAGTGCTGGAACTAAACTACCCTAGCTCCAGTTCAGTGTTGTAGATCCAATTTGCCTGCATCCCTTAATCACAGGACAAGAGCTTCTCCCCTGACACTTAATCCTGATGGTTCTTTATCAAGACAGAAAGCTCATGGGGAGCCTCCAAAACACCAGATTGGGGACTGAGGACTAAGTAGCCATGCCTTAGCTCTAATGACCAGTGCACTAGTACCCTGGTGCTATTTGTGTTCCCCAAAATCCATATGGTCAAGCCCTAATATGCAATGTAACTGTATCTGCACTTGTTCCAATCTAGTTCAGGTTGGCTTTGGATGCTAAATATTGAACTGCTGCCTAATCCCACTGTAGGTCTACCATATAGCCAAATTAGTTCCCTCAGTCTCGTATATTCCAAGGGAGACTGTCTGCTTTAGTAGAAAAGTATGGAGTCAGAGACCCAGTTCTAATACTGAGTCTACAACGTAATAGTGGAAAAGCAACCAAATCTCAGTTTTCCCATTTGTGAAATAGGTATACCTATACAAACAGGTTTGTGAGGGCCAAACAAGATAATGTATAAAATAAATCATCTGCAAAAGGACTTGGAAAGTAAATGATGACTCATGACGGCTGCTTTGCTTCATCCTCTCTTCCCCTGGTCCTGAGCTCCTCCCCTCTTCTCTCCCAGCTCTGATCCTGAGATGGCTGCAACTGAGCCACAGAAATTCAGAAAGGGCTCTTTCTGCAGACTACCCTGGCTTTGTTCTTTCCCCCAGATTTAGCTATTAGCATTTGAAGAGACCATAGAAACCAAGCTATGCTCTCTAAAATATAACAATATAGATGCCACTTTGATCTTTCATGCCTCTATCATTATATTCTTGAACTTTAACAGGGGTGTCATGAGGACTCCACCATAGAAAGGTTGAACTATAATAACCTACTATGTGATTCAGTTATCAGGGTGGCTCAAAGTTGTGGCAGATACTACTAGCTGATAATCAATATTTAAAGCAAAACGCCCACATTTTCGCTGGTCATATGAATAGATGCATGGCCGCCCGGCCAATGACTACATTTCCCAGCCACCCTTGCAGCCGAGCGGAGTCTTGGGAACAAGTGCTGATCAATGGGATGTGATCAGAAGTGCCTGGCCCATTTCCAGGTTATGCTCCCTCCAAAAGAACGTGGATGGATTTCTCTGGTCTGTTCATTCTTCCCCGTGTGGGCTGGGAACTGATGAGAACAGGGCAGCTCTCTTGGACCCCAAGTCAGAGGCTGTGTTGTGAGAATGTGAGAAGAGGTGCCCTGATAGTCACTTGTCTCTACTCTATCACATAAAACAGAAGTAACCTATCTTGTTTAATCCACTGTACCTTTAATTTTTATAACATCCCAGCTGAAACACTGAACAATACATAAGTATTTTTATTTAATCAGGTATAATTGCTTACCTGATGTCAGCTTACTGGAATTGTAAGTACTAACTACAGGAAATAAACATCTTTCTATGAAATGAACATGCAAACCTTAAATTTTAAAATGTCAGCTATTATCCAGACACATGAAAGTAGATAAACAGCCTGACAAATCTCAGAGAGAAGGGGGGTGTGGGGATGGGAAGAACACAGAACACAGATAAACCAATGGGCACAGAAAATAGTGCGCTGAAGGTGGGGGCGGGGCGGGGCAGGAGTAGGGAGGAGGGTGTCAATGGGGGAAAAAAGGAGGCACATGTGTAATACTTTCAACAACAACAACAACAAAAAAATGTCAGCTATTGTTATATAAATCTAGTATCTGAATCCTTTTCACCAGGTAAGCCCCCATTAGTCACCCACACCTCTCCTGTCTGGCCAGTGCCACTAAAACTGGAAGTCTGAAACCCTATAAGCTTAGTCAGAAACCACTGGCTCATGTCCCAGTTCTGTTTTGTTCCTGATTCTTCTCATTCTGAGCTCTTCAATTCGTTTTTTCTGTTTATGACCTTGCCTGATTCCTTGAACCTAACTTGCAAAACATTTTACTTGTAATGACTGGAAATGATCCATACACCCCTCCTCACCCTTGATTATGCTATTCCCAGCTGCTCTATGCAAATACCTTCATCAGTCTAGCCCAATGTCTGAGCGTCTCTATTTCAATGCAGTTTCATAGCCTATATCCCACTCAGTTCCTACCAGCCCCACCATGGGGACCTAACCATCTTAATTTACTCATTTCTCTTGTTAAAGCAGGGCTATGTCCCTGTATTTTAATTCATAAAAATAAAAAACTCACCAATGTCCTCATATGTACATAGCCATAATCACTCCAAATTTATTATTAATTTTACCTATTTTGCCATAGTTATCTGCAACAAAGTCTTCCAAACCAATCATCTTCCAGAAACTGTCGTCCCAGCCTTTCTCTGCCGAATATGTCCATTTGCACACCAGGGAGCAGAGAGACCTAAGGAAATGGGAAGAGGGAGAGCCAATAGTATGAGCTAGGCTTCTTTATGTTTTGCCAAATACCTGCCTAGATCGCTGCAGTAGTATTAAGTGGAATGAACCTAACTCGGTGATTACACATCCCTGTTTAGACCAAAGGCCCCAGTGACACTTGCTAATGACTGAGAACCCCTTTTCATTTTCATGAGAGTCTCAGCTCTTTATTTAGACCTTGTTTGAACATAAATATCTGTATGTTTATATTTACATGACATTTGTGAGATCATTAGAAATTATAACACTGATAGCTATTTGATGATATTGAGCATTACTATTCAATTTTAGGTATGATATTGGTAATTTGGTAATTGTGGTTATTCAAAAAGCCTCATCATTTAGAGATGCAGACTGAACTATTTACGTATAAAATGAGATGACATCTGGGATTTGCTTCAAAATTGCAAGAGAAGGGGAAGTGAATGGTGTTATGATTGGGGCAGAATTGGCCATGAGTTGGTGGCTGTGGCGCTGAGTGACAGGTAAAGGGTATTTATTATATTACTCTGTTTGGTACATGTTCAAAATTCTCTATAACAAAAATATTTTTAAAAGTAGCTGATAGAGTGTACAGATGATGTGTTGTAGAACTGTGCGCTTGAAACCTGTATAATTTTGTTAACCAGTGTCACCCCAATAAATTCAATAAAAAGGAAAAAAAAGTGGCTGGTATATGTACGGTCGCTCCACTCGAAAGCAGTATTTACTAGGTGGAAGATTTAAATGCTAGAAGGTGATTTCCCCTCCAGCTTCATTTCTCATCCATTCACCTTTAGGATTCTGTACTCCAGCCATAAAATATCATTTGCAGTTCTCTGAACAAAATCATGTTCTTCCATATTTCTGTGCCTTTGCCTCACTCCTATTTGGAAAATTCCTCCCAGTTTCTTCAGCCTGGTAATGCGGACGCTTCCATCAGCCTGGGCTGAGGCCCCAGTTCGGGGCGGTACATCTCATGCTCCCAGAGCGCACAGCTAGCCTCTGTCACAGCCCTTATCACGCCGTGGAATTAACTGCTTCCTCATCATCTTCCCTATAGTCCTACCAACTTCCAGTCTGTTCTCCACATTGTGTTCAGACTTCATAAAATAAAATTTGATGCTATCAAACCCCTGATGAAAACCCTCTGACTGTTCCTTACTACCTTCGGGAAAAAGTCCAATCCTCTGCAGGGCTTAAAAGACCCTTTATGATATGGCCATGGTGACCTCCAGTTTCCTCTTGCCAATCCCATCCTTGCTCGTTCCATTCTGTACTACTGAATTATTTACTTATTTATTTTTCCTCATCCGAGGACATTTTTGCATTTATATTCAGATAGAGCGGGAGGGAGAGAAGGAGGAAAAAAGAGAGAGAAACGTAGATGTGAGAGAGACACACTGAGTGGTTGCCACCCACACAACCCCAACCGGGGCTGGGGACAAACTGCAACGGAGGAATGTGCCCTTGGCAGGAACCAAACCCAGGACTCTCTGGTCCGCGGGCCAATGCTCTAACTGCTGAGCCAAACCAGCCAGGGCACTGCTGAATTATTTACAGTTGCCCATAGTTTGCCTTGCTGTCTGACTTCCCTGTGCACTGAGTCCTTGGCTCCATTCTGCCCACAATGTTCTTTCCTGTGTGTATCTAACTCCTAGTTAGAAGTCATGACTCAGCTCATATTATCCCTTTTCCTGAAGCCTCAGTGGAAAGCAAGCTAGGCCCAAAGCCTCTTCTCCAAGTCCCAATCAGGACATATCCTTATCTTAACACTTACCATAATAACTGCCTTTGCCCACTCACTTCTCCATCTCTCCCGCTGAACCGGCAACTCCTTCAGAGCAAAATCAGCCCTAATCATCTCTGGCATCACCAGTACCTGGTCCACCTTCAGCCACAGGTCAAGCCACAACAGATACTGTTTCAATGGAAGCACTAAACAATGATTTGTCCACCTTGTCACAGGTAAATGGTAAATCTGGGTTGCTCATGCAGTTTTGTTTTTTTTCATTTTTTTTTTTTTTAATTCTCACCCAAGGACATTTTTGCATTTATCTTCAGATAGAGCAGGAGGGAGAGAAGGGGGAAGACAGAGAGAAACATCAATGTAATAGAGACACATTGACCAGTTGCCACCCACACGACCCCAACCAGGGCCAGGGACAAACTGCAACCGAGGTATGTGCCCTTAGTGGGAACTGAACCCGGGTCTCTCTGGTCCGCGAGCTGACGCTCTAACTGCTGAGCCAAACCGGTCAGGGTGCTCATGCAGTTTTAAAGAGAAACCTATCTCATACAGTCAACTAGGTACATCTCATTCAGTCATTCACATAGATCTACTCACTCACCCATTAAACATTTCATTTTCAGTTACTGTGACCCCAGCACTATGCTGGACCCTGGGGAACCAGTAGTATGAAGATCTGGTCCTCTGCTCTCGTATAAGCTGACAGTCTAATTAAGGAGACAGAAATAAATCAAACAATCATACCTAAAGTCACATCTAACAAATAGCTGAAATGTTCTGAAGGAATTAGACAAATGAGAACTTTCAACGGGAGAACCTGATAGGATCTGGTAGGAGGAAGAAGGAAAGAAGTTTCAAGAAGGGCTCCACAGAGGAGGTGGCATTTTGTGAAGTCTAAATTTGTAAAGCAAACAAATTGATCATTTATCATGAATGAAGTTTTTCAGATGTCACACAGATGGTAGAAACAATGAGCTAAGCTACATGGCATGGATCTATTGAAGGAGCGATAGAGCCAGTAGAAACTTAATACATGTGTGCTAAATCCTTCACCTAATTTGAGCCAGACAATTTTTTTGGCAGTACAGAGAAGGCAGCCACCTGTCTAGCACGTTCCGAAGAGCACACAGTAGGTAACTCCTTTGGGCACAATGCCTGAAATTCCATGATAGCTCATTGCAAAGAGTAATGTGGAGGAAAAGGTGATGTGGAAAGATTGTTCCTAATGATCAAACCACATAGGACAGCTCTTCACTCCCCAAATACCCCATTCGTGTACAGACTTCTGTGCTTCTGCTTTGACTGCTCCTTCGTCTGAATGGATTATTGTTTCTTTCACTGATCCTCGTCTACCTGGCGAACTCCAAACCATCCTTATGATCCAGTCCCACTGTCATCTCCTCCTCAAAAGTGTCCTTGCTGCCTCTGAGCTAAACCCACGGTTCTCTGCCTTGAGGGAGCATTAGCACTTGGAAATACTGTGCAGTCGCTCCTAACAAGCTGAGGCAGGTTGGGCTTATGGCCTCCAGTCTATGGCTCTCCATATCTCCACATCCTTTGCCGTTTGATTTGTAGTGCTGTGTGCCCTCTCCTCCTCTCACCCCTCCCCCCACTGTGGGCAGGACCTCCTTTCCTACTTCTACACTTTGTATTCTGTCATGTGACTGGATTTGGTAAGAAAAAAAAAATGAGGCAAAGTGACAGCATGCCAGTTTCGAGTCTAGGCCTCAAGAGGCATTATGTGTTTCTGCTTGCTCTCTTGACCTCTGGCATCGACATGAGAAGATCCTGCCTGGGACGGCCCACTGGTCCCAGGAGAAGAATGAGAGGTCAATGGATCAGACACCCCAGGCAGCCAAAACCCAAATGAGGAAGTCCATCTGAGACCAGAAGAACCACCCAGCAGAGCACAGCCTAAATAAACCACCCCTGATTATTGTCTTGAACTACTGAGCATTGGCTATGGTTTGTCACAGAGCACCAGTGAAACAACTCAACACTTTAAGGCATAACTAAGTTACTCCAAAGAGATTTCCCCCCTATAAGGGCCAGGAGAGAGATGCCTCAGTCCTCATAGAATATCGGATTCAGTGGCCAGAGAGTATGTTTGGAGTGAAGATGACTGAGCCCAGGAGGCAGAAAATTTTACATCTGTAGATCTCTCTGGCAACTCCATTTTCCATCAGGATGAATGAGACACCATTAGGATCCTTTTCATTTGGCTTTCTCTAAGTCAACTCCTAGGCAATATAGATGTATAAAATCAACAGAATTTGCAAAATTTAGAGAGTGCATCTGAAGCCACAGGTTCTCCAGAAATCTCCACAAGAGAGAGTAATTATATAGGATACTATGCTCTTAGTGAGTGAAGCCAAGGCAGCTGTAGCAGAACAAAGGGTTTGCTTCCCACCCCCACCCCCACCCCCACCCCCACCCCCACCCCCACCCCAGGCTGGACAAGAGTGTTGCTTCCACCCAGGGAGAAGGGCCACTTGCTGTGTGTTCACTGCCATCCAGAATGATCCAGAATGCCCCGCAAGTAACTGCTGTACCTTACCCTGCTTTCAGATTTACCAATGCCAAATAGACTATAACTACCTACATGAGTATCAAAAGAACATAAATCAATGAGTAGGCAAAACAAAAAACAACACCTAACTTACAGGGATCAATTCATCTGGGAGAACACTATAACACCTATAAGAGGCAGGGCTCCTGGATACAGAAGTGATGAAAAAATTGAAAGAGAATATCAATAATGAAAGCAGTGAGACACCAGAAGAAGAATGCAAGACAGATTTTCTGAACAACAAAGATTTTAAATGTTAAACTTTAAACTTCTGCAGAAGAACTAAAAAACCACTTGTACTGTTGAAAATCAAATTAATGATCTGGAAGACCAAGTTAATGAAATATGTTACTACCCACAGCAAAGACACAAAGACAGAAATAACGAGGGAAGAAATAAGAGCCTTGGAGGACAGATCCAGCAGCCTAACATGAGAATAACAGGAATTCCAGAAGGGATTTTTATTTTAAAAAGAAGGAAAAAAAACCCCGAAAACAAAGCAGATGAAGGAGTTGTTATAATTAAATAAATACAGTATTAGAATTTTTTAAAAAAAATACTGAACTGAAGGAAGATTTAAGCCTGCAGATTAAAAGACTCATTAAATCCAGGAAGTGAATCCAGGAAATACTTGAATTTCAAGCATAAACAGAAAATTATACAAGTT